AAATAAAAAGATTTTAAGTTTCAAAAATAGTGCATTTTACAACATATTATCTATACCATCCATTTTCAAGATTTTCATATGTTTATAGATCTACTTGATTTTAACCATTTTTTAAATTTAAAATTTCATAATTAGATATAAAAATAGATTTTGAGATAATCCTAATAACATTTTACATCAAAATTATATACCATGATAAAATTTGAAGGGCACCGTACCTCTACACCTACGGAAGCGTTTGTATGCCAACCACACCCTTTTACATATATATTAAACCATTAAACAATAATTTTATAGCCTTACAAGTGTCATTAGAGTAATACTTGATAATTATTTATTGAAACTTTCAATAAATCCGACAACAATGCTTACTATGTTGTCACAACACAAAACATATTGTAGATTTACTGGGTGCATAAAATAAAATAACAACAACAATACTAAATACAAGAAATAATTAACAAATAACAAGAACTATGAAACAAGGTATAGGATTATTTTTAAAAGAAATAAACAAAAAACACTCTCAAAATATGATTGAAGTGAATTAAAATAAAATGCAAAGACCCAAATATGAAACATAGTGGTCCATCCAAAATGCTATTTTGTATATACCAATGACGTAAAAAATAAAAAATAAAAAATGAAATTAATCAAATTTTTTATGCATAAAAAAAGCAACAAAATGCTTAAGCAGATTTGAATCTTGTACTGAATTCCTAGCTACCTAAATCTTTAGTATCATTGAATCTCCAGCTTGCTTTTTATAAGGACGCTCTGGGTTTAAAGAAAAAAAAAAATTCCGTTGGTTACGCTTCTACTAATTCTACCTATTATTCTGACATATACAAAATAATATACAGGTTATCATATATTCGCAATTCCACTAAAACTTGAGATGATTTCATAGAAACCATGGAGAATTTGGAGAGAAACCGAGAGAATTGGAATTGCAATATATATTTTGGCAAAGAAGTATGCCTGCTGCTCAGAGGAAGCAATATATAGAAGAAACATTGCACCCACCCAAAATTCTTGCATACACAAGTTGCTCCATGCGTTCATAGAACTATGGATTCTTTGAGAAACCTCAAAACGACAATTCAACAAAAAAAATATAAAAAAAAATTGAAACTCAGGCTCACCATGGAGCAGCACCAGAGATGGCGAAGAACACCACTGAAACGCATTGCCATCATCTCTCGAGGCAAAGAGAACTATACATTATGCCACGTCACATATTTGAAAATTTTATTGCAGACGTACTCAAAAGTTTGTGAATTCTAGCCCCACGAGGAATGGGACCAATTTTTTTGGTAAAAAAAATTAAGAGGGAAATATTAGGAAGACAAAAATTTTCATAGTTAGGGTTTCTTATAAAAATGAGCCTTTCTTATTTTTTTTTGTAGGAAGAGGTGAGCCAAAGAAATTATATGAAGATGTTGAAGTCATTTGTTTCCCTCTCTAGGTTTTTGATGTGTAGAAAAATTACAAAGGATTTTTCTTCCAAAAAGGTTTCGGGTTTCAGACTTCCCATAATAATTGAAGCTGGTGTTCTCCTATTAATGTTGGAAACAAGTGATTCATTCAAGGAAGGGAAGGAAAATTAAATTGATCCCACAAAGATGGCCCCATGTTTATACCTTTTTCATGTTCCTAATTATTAAGTTGGAATTTGTTAACTTGGGAAGATCTATTGTAAAAATAATAATTTACATAGTAGATTTCGATTGTGGTGTCCCCATGGTATTTTTTTCTTCCTTGAAGGGTTTTCACATATGATGTTCAGATTGTTTTCTATTTCATGTAAATCTGCATATTTTTATGGGATTGTATACTAGGAGACTATTTATCTTTCTCACAAGAATGTCACAATTACTTCTTGCCATTTGATGTCGAATTGAATGGCTAAGGTTTATCATGAGGAGAAAAAAAAATTTAATTATGAGTCTAGTCAATGACATGCTTACAACCGCATGATTTGAATTCTAAAGGACAATAATGACTTGACATCCTTGGGCTAAATGTAAATGGCCTTTGTATACTTGGTTTTGTCTTGGGTATTGTTCTTTGATTCCATGTTCGTGGGAAGGTACAGGCACCCCAACAATTATGCGTTTGTTCCAGTTGTGGCATTTTTACATTCCAATCGAGGGTTTTCTATTCGCCAAAATGCTGGATGTAAATTGTAATAGCCTGCGAACTCTCATACTCTTGTTGGAGTTTTGACTGTGATTTCGTGGATATCTCTGGTTTTTTTTTTCTTCAGTCTCAAATTTTAAAAAAAACAATCCATTAAATCCACGATTACACGCATCAGACCCTCTCTCACGTGCCTCTAATACTATCAGTTTATAAATCCCGAGTAAATTACGTACGGAACATGTTGGGTCTATTACCATTTGGTGCAACTCTAAATAAGTTATAAGTTCTCCCCTATCCAGTCATCTGATTTAGATCAAGTGAGCCAGTGACGGTTTGATATAGATCGATTTCAATTTTAGTGTTTTTTCTATAAATCATATGAATATGAAAGTTTATACTTGACATCATCTCAATGGGATGCATCTTAAAACAATATAAAAAAATATTCTCGATAAAATAAAATTATCAAAATATCTATAAAATTTTCAAAGATATTTTGGTTATTTTATTTTATATGGAATATGTATTTTATATTTTTTTGCAAGTGAGAAGTTAAGAGAGGAGTGGATGCCAAAATTTGGTATCGAAATATTTTAAAAATAAATAAATTAAAAATAAAAGAGTGTAGAGGCCGTACATTGTGATTGGGTCCATCTCAGTCGTCCTTTCATATAGGACAAATGGATTGGGGGATGTATATAACTTATATATAATAGAAAAAGTACGAAAATTTTTTCCTTATTTTAATTTGACAGTTCAGTACGAATGAAACTTCAGACATTATGTTATGACACCCTACCACGCCGACCACTAACGCTCAAAAGCTAATCCTCTTATACATTTTTTTTTTTTTGACAAGAATTCCTCTTATAAATTTTTATATAGAAAAAAAATTTATTTAAGGTTGCAACTTTACATTATAGAATCAGGGGCACCTCAAAAATCCAATTAAAAAATAGCATTCCAAAATTGAAAACCTTCCAATTGATCTTTTCGACCTGAAATTGTATGGATATAGAGAACAAAAAGGATTTTAAATCCTACAAATAGGGCATCTTGTAACAAGTTATTTGGACCGTCTATTTCCAAGATTATCAAGTGTTTATAAATCTACTTGATCTGCATTAGTTTTGCAATTTTAAATGTTAGAATATGGGTTCGACATGGATTTCAAGCCATTGTAAGGTCTCTGACATTGGAACTATATCTTCTAGGAAAATTCCAAGGTATGCCTTACTTGTATAGTATAGGTGGGCACCATACATGAACCTCACCCTTTTTATAGGGTTGGCATTGCGTGCACGTTGTGGACACTTAAAAGGGGCACAAGCACCTTTTAATGGTTAAGAGTGGACCAACCCTCATCTAAGGGCAAAAAATGAATTTTTTTTTTATTTTTATTTAAAAATAATATTAATTTCAAATTTAGGTTTTAGTATTTTTTACAAATAGAATTAATTCAAAATAAAAAAATATTTTGAATAAGAATAGGACACAGTTTCTATGTGGCCAAGCCTGCATATGTAGAAATGCAGCCTATTAAACACTAGAAATATTAATTCTAGTAAGAAAACATTTGGACCGTTAGTTTTCATTGTTTTTAAATAAAACGCCTACTTGTATCCATATTTAAGATGGGTGCTATACACTTTTTGGACCGCATACATAGTTATGCAGTCCAGCCCGCATGAAACAATTTTCCATAAAAAAATCTTAGAGTATTTTAATTGTGGGTGTGGTTTCTATAAAGTTACAACCTTAAACAATCCAAATAAGGTGCACCTCTAAATCTTATCATAATGTGTAATTTTAGTATAAAATTTTTTAAGGTTATCTGAAAATCTACTTTCATACTAATTATAAAATGTTAAACTCTAAAAATGGTTAAAATTAAGTAGATCTATAAACATATGACAATCTTGAAATTGGACAGTCTTGATAATGTGTTGCAAGATGCACTATTTTTGGGACCCAAAATCTTTATTTATATATATATATAACATTAAAACAACCTTTTTCCGATAGATTTTTGAGGTGAGCCTTTAATTCTACATTTTAAGGTTGCGACTTTATATAAATTTTTCTTTTAGTTATTTTTATTTAAAATAATTTTTGTTTAGTTATCTTTTGTAAAAATAAACTTATGCCCTAAGGTTCCGATAAATATTTTATTTAAATAAAAGTAAAAAATAAAAAAACAAAATTAATTTATTGCCATTATAATTGGCCTTTTAAAATCTCAAACCATTAAGGATGCTCACCGTCGGGAAGGCACTCTCATTGCCATAGGATGGAGATTTTAGGTTTTTTTTCCAGGGCAATGTTTTGAATCTCAGATTGGTGGGGCAAATTGTACATCCCACAAATCCATATCAGATTATTAGATCAACGATCTGAATCATTCGAATCGATAATCCAATAAAATAAATAAAAATAAAAAGTAGGGTTTATGGGATGGGGATTTAAGATAACATAAAAAATCATTAAATAAGCTTAAAAAGAGAATAAAAAATATATATATAAAAAGGGGAGTCTTAGGGTGGAACTAGGTCATGGGCCATACCATCCCAGAATTGATTTGGTCCCAACATCTGAAAGAAATCGCAAGAATTTAAAAGAGTGGACTCTTGTTCCCTTTCCTCAAACTCCAACAAGGGAAATTATTACCTTCACAACATCACAAAGATTGGTGGCCTCCTCTCAGAATTTCTATCAGGGGTTAAACATGTCACATAGAGATTATTGAGCAAAAGAGTCCAGAAAAGCATTCAAATTCGGAAGAGGGCCTTTAAATGCATACACCACTCAGAAAGCGATGCCACATTTGGAAGCATCCTCTTTCGAAACAAAAATCCTTCATGCCATTATTATCCTGTCATTTCATTTCCTTTTTAAGTAGAAAGAACAAAAATGTAAAAAAGATCCAAGTTAAATACAATCACGCTCTAAAACGGGCCGCTCTTCTCCGTTTCTTTTATATCAGCCGTTTTAGCCAATTCTAGACAATCCGTTATAACGTGCCCATTACATTTGAATTTCCCGCCAACGCTCCATTGGGTCACGATCCTTTTCTATGGAAAGCCCTATTCCTTAAAAACCTTTTGTTTTTATCCGAAAGATGCCCGTTCCGTACACCATGGAGACGTGACGTTTTGCCACGTCACATAATAGACACGTGGGCCATGTCCACGGTTCACGAGCCTCTGCCAGCGAATAGCATCTCGTCACGTGAAGCCACGTGAACCGGCCGGCCAGGTTACGACCGTTACGCCAATTTTTTCTCTCTCCATGCCGGAAACTTTCTCTCTCCTTGAAGGCAGTCGATTTCGCGCCCCCCCCCCTCCTCTCTCTCCCTCCCCCTAAGGGGTCACCTCATGTCCGCAATTGTTTCTCTCACAAGGGAGTCGAGTATCTCGCGCTCGATATCGAACGCGAGCCTCTCTCTCTCCTCGACGGCGTTTGCCGCCGTGACCGCCTCCATATCTCCGGCGATGATTCCGTCGACGTCCTCCATCGACAGGCACGCGCTCGCAGGAAAACCACAAACTTCCGACCATACCTGCCGGAAGAGCTCTTTCCCGGTGACGGGTTTCCTGCATGGCGAGACCCACGGCCTCAAGTTGAAAAAAGGCCTCAGCCTTCGTTTCAAAATCTCGTCCAACAACTGAAAGACGAGCAACCGAACGCTCCTATTAACCGGACCCAGGCGCGAGTGGGCTCGAGCAGACTCGAGCCGGCTGAAGAGATCAGGGTCAAGTGGGTGCGAAGGCGAGAACCAAGATGTCAGAGAAATTGGTGAGTCAGGGCTCACGCCTGATGATTCGAGGATGGCTTTGATGTAGTCGTAGTGAGGGGGGTTAGGGTTTTGGTTTCGGGGTTTTAGGGTTAGGGTTTTGGGGTTGTGTTCCACATGTATGGTGTCGAGGTGGAGGGATTTGTCGAGAACAGAGACTGGGCTTAGTTGTTGATGATTATGGTGATAGGTATCGTACTGTTGTGATGATACAAAATGTAGGTGGGAGAGGGGTTCTTCGCCACTCGATGTTGGAGATTGCTGAAATCAAAACAAAAAAAGACCAACATGCATTTTGGCTTCAAATACGAAAATCTTATTTTGGGAACAAGGATTTGCAGTAAAGAGAAACACAGCAAGGTTAGGAATAATGTAGAATTAAAAGACAAGAAAAATGTACCAAACAATTGGAAGAGAGAGAGAGAGAGAGAGACTATTAAACTTACAGAAATAAAAAACCAAGGAAAAATTTGGGTTGCAGAACCCTTGAAAGCAACAGAAGAAAAAACCACTGGTAAAAATACGTTGGTTAACATTTCTCAATGGTTGGGCCATATAAAAAAACGATCACAGGGAAATAGCAGGTAAAAAATGAGAGAGAGAGAGAGAGAGAGAGAGAGAGAGGTGATGAAACTTCTTACCAGTTTGAAAAGTTACAGACAAAAGAATTGCAGGACCCGTGAAAAAAGATCACATACCGGTTGAAAGGGCTCAGAAGAGCACTGCTTTCTGATGTGTAGCTTCTTCTTTACTGGAACAACAGGGCGCACAGTGAGAAGCTTGTCTTCTAATCTTTTCTCTGAAGTCGCAGGCTTTTTTCCTCTCACAAAAGTTTCCTGTATAGGATGAAGCTTGTTTCTTCTTGGATTAAGCTTCTCAGGCTTGGGTTTCTTGTTCCTCATGGCTACTTTCGATCTGATTTTCTCACCCTTGGATGGTTCGGAGAGCTTAGGCGAAGTTGGGTTTTGGAATTCAGAGAGTGAAAGTCCTGTTTTGCCCCTGATTTCTGAGAGAGACCCACCTTGTTTGTTGGGTAATTCAGAGACAGAATGTCCATGTTTGCACTGAGATGAGGACCTAAGCCTAGGTGAATTAGAATGGGTAGAATGCTTGCTTTCAGAGCTGCTGCTTAAGCTTTCATCCATGGCTTTTGAATTCAGTGATAGGTTTTGCAATCTAGGGCTCGTTCTTCCCGAGTTGCTCCCAGAAATGGCGTTTTTCTTATTGTAATTCTCTGCAATTTCTTGCCCTGTTTTTGTACTGATGCTTTCCCTCACTTGTTTTACGATCTCCTTGGAGTAATTGCCTGGGCTTCTGCTTTCTCTCTCTAACGCCATCTTCCTCCCCAGCCGTTTTGGCGACTCCAGTGAAGAAGTAGAAGTATTGAGAGGTGCATTAAGAGAGTTGGGTACCTCTAAATTTAGGTGCAGAGGGAGAAAATCCGATCTTCGTGTTGTTTTCGAATTGTTTCGCAGGTAATTGAAATCCACGTTTTCTTTGGGGATTTGGAGGGAGAGTCTTGGATCTGCATCAGACCTTCTCGCCGATGAAATTCTCGGTGTTTCAGGCAAAGAGCGAGAATGACAGCACTCATTGTTGAGATTATAGTCCATTCTAGAGCGAGAAACACAGCATTCACTGCCCAAATTATGGGTATGATTTCCAGATAGACAAGCGGAATGCTCATTGCTCAAATTGGGATTCCTACTCTTCAAGGCCTGTCGAAACTGGCACTTGAACTCTTTGAGCTGGTTCTCTTGTGGATGGCGCTTTTGTGTTTTGCTAGAGAGAGAAACATGGCGATCATGGCTCGATGCAGGGTTTAATGAAGGTGAGCTTCCATGGCGATCCATTGATGGAGTTATGGGCTCATCCGGTAAGATATCTAAGCCCATGAGGCGAGCCACCACATTTGAGCCTCTGGGTTTTTGCATCAATGGCTCAGAGAAACTTTCACTGTAATGGCGATGACCTCTGGTGTCCTTTCTCGTGGTTTCAAACCCGGTTACCTTCGAACACCGTATGATACCCATCTGGAAAGTTAAGGAACCAAGAGCTCAGTTAGAGAGAGAAAGAAGATGAGAGAGAAAGGAACACAATTCTAATTACATGATGAAGTGTAAGACACTGTAAACAGTGGTGACTCAAGAAAGTGTATGGAACAGTAACAAAGCAATCATTAAAAAGAAAGGTTTGGCGCTGCTTCTTATCGTACTTGAATCCCTTCTTCTCCTCTTTCTCTCTCTACTTCTTTGCTCAACTCAAGACTGTTCCTCGGTGCTTGAAGCCCTGCACATTTCACAAAATAAACCTAATCCCTCTTCTCTCTCTATCATTATCACAATAATCAAAATTTACAGTCTATTCTCTCTCTCATTACAACAAACATAAGCTCAAAAATAGATTTTTGATCTCTGTAGAATATATATTGTCTCTCTAAAATTGTTTTTCTTTGTGTAAGATTTTGCTCAGAGGGCTGGAATGAGCAGCTGAAGCAAAACAGGATACAGAATTGCTTAGAACCCAAAAGAGAACAACTTTTATTACGAAAAGTTTCATGTGGTACCTTCACAGGAGGAGCCTTCCTCTTCTGGTTTTTTGAACCCATCCCTAACTCCACTGCCATCGCTGCTACTGCTGCTGCGATTTGTGGCGCGAAGACGATGGAAATCAAACAACTGGAGCACAGCACTTATGCACCCCGGCCTACCACCCTCTCTCTCTCTCTTCACTGACCAGCTCCTACCCATTTCACTCTCTCTCTCTCTAGAACAGAAGAAAACCAAGAAAAAGAGCTCAAAATTTGAGTCTAAGAAAAACACAGGCTTCAAATTCGAATTCTCTCTCTCTCTCTCTCTATCAAATCCACGAAAGTAAACCTAAGGCTCTCTCTCTTCTGAAGGGGGAGAAACCCGGGAGGAAGAAACCAGTGATGGAGACGGAGAAGCAGAAAGAGCTTGAAATTGAAGATATGGAAGAGAAACAAAACCAGAAGAAGAACCTCAAAAAAACAAAACCCTTTCAATTGAAGCGGGTCTTTCTCTCTCTACACTACAAAGTGAAGCAAGGAAAAGGAGACGAAAATGGTGGGTGGGTAAGAAGGGCAAAAGCTTCTAATTAGAGAGGGGCGGATTTATGGGAATGGCGTGGCGGAAGGTTTGAATATAGGCACGTAACGGGTCTGAGAATGCGAACAGATCGGCGGGCGGCCGGCCGGACGTCTACATGCGATACACACATTTTGAAATATGAAGAGGCCGCCTTTAACCGGCCTTCCCCTTTCCAAAACCCCCTCTCTGTCTTTCTCTCTCTAGATCATGCATGCCAAACTATTATTCTCTCTCTAGATCATGCATTCCAAACGATTACTCTTAGCAATCTTAAAAGTATTATTCTCTCTCTAAATGGATACCAAGTTCGGTTTTTCCCCTCTCTAAAATCTCACTTTAAAATGTCGTGTTTCTCTCTCCTCTTTCTTTATGCATATTAAGGTGGCAGTAAAAGCGAGAGATCCTCACTTTCTTAAAAAGGGTTTATGCCCCCTCACTCTCTCTCTTAAAAAAGCGTATATACGATTCTCTCTCTCTCTAAAAAGGTTTGCGGAGACCATTTTCTCTCTCATAGTCGAGAGGGCGCATCGGAACTTGAAACCGCAGCCGGCATTAGAGGACGTATATATCGCACGAGACCCTATGCGCCACTCCCACTTCTGCTCCATCACTCTGTCTTTTCCCTCTATATATCCTTCTCTTATCTAAAATATCCTAGAAGTCCCTAGCTTTAAGATAAAGGCGAGGACTTCTAAAGCTAACGACGTCTTCAAAAAGAATGAATTGTTTCATGCGGGCTGGACCTCATTTCTATAATATGCGGTCTATAGTATTGAAACATCTATTGTAAAAATCGATGCAAATAGATAGTCCATCTAAAAAACAATTATAATTAACCGTTTAAATATTTTTTTAATATAATTATTATTTTTAATTTTCAAACTTTTTTCATATTCATGATCTTTATGTTAAAAATTATATATTCTCTAAAAATTAGAATCAAATAATATTTAAAAAATATGTGCCAATCCCGCATTCCTACAATATGCAGGCTGGTCACATGCTAGCCGCATCCTTCTCAAAAACAAGGAAAATGGTTTGATGGGGCACCAGCCCCATCAAAATAATTAGAGCCTCACCTTATAACTCATTGTAAATTGCAATTCAAGCGTTGAAAACTTTTTAAATCGATCATCTCATATTCAATATATGATTATGAACAAAAATTAGGATTTCAAACTTTACAAATAGTATATATTGCAAGAAATTATCTAGACTGTTTATTTCAATCTAAAAATAAGTATTCACTAATCCATAAAATCTCTACTATTTTTTAGTTTCAAATTTTATTGTCCTTGTTGAAAATTGATTTTAGGGCATCATGGAAATTTCGAGTGCCAAAAGTGCTTTCCAAACCAGGGATGAGGCTTTATTTTATTCTCATAAAACCTAGGCCTTATAAAAACTTGATCATTCTGAAAGACTATTTTGGTATCGCTAAAAAGCCGCTCGTGGAAGTGTTTGAAATTTCGGTTACAACTTGCAACTAATGAATTTGGTCAACCATATAATATAAAAATTCAGCTAATAATTTGAATTTTGTGGTAATAAAGATAGGGAAAGTTCTCTAAGCACGTGTCAAGGAAGCCTATACGCTTTTATATTCTTTTTTAAAAAAAGTGGTTTGATAGGGCCACAGTTCTATCAAAATAAGTAAAGCCTCACTTCATAACTCATCAACCATAACAATTCAAACATTAGAAAATCATTACATCGATCGTCTTGGCTCAAACATTATAGTTGTTGAAAAAAATTAGCATTTCAAGCTCTCAAAATAGTATATATTATAACAAGGGAAATGATCTTCTATATTATAGATATACTCATTACTAACAAATTATCTAGAACGTCAAGTTTTCCCTAAAAATTAGGTTTATAGATCCGCAAGATCTTTATGATTTTTTTAGTTTCAAATTTTATTGTTGTATTGGAAATTGAATTTAAAGCCCTTATAGAGATTTTCATTGCAGAAAGTGTTTTCCAGACAAGAATTTGACGTGAAGCTTTATTTTATTTTATTTTCATAAAACCTAATCCTTGTAGCAACCTCGCCCTTTTTTACGTATGAAAGATTTGCCTTTTTACATTAGTTTTTGTCCACATTAATTCAGTATTCAATTATTCACCGACTCAAAAGAAGCATTGATTGTTGATAAGTTTGGGTGCAACTTGGTCTGAATTCATAAAGAAGAATAAAAGGGGCACATTTTATAATTACCTCATTCACCTTTTTTTTTTTTTTTTTTTTTTTTTTTTTTTTTTCTTTTTTACAAGGTGTAATAAATGGTAGAAACTAGAACCAATGGTACTAGTACAATTGGTAAAAATTCTGTATGAGGTGTAAACCTTATAATTCATGTAATATGCACTTTAAAAAAGCAAAAGCTAATCAGAAAAGGCTGTTATGATATTGCTAAACCTTCCAATGAATCATATATAGGAATACATAAAGAGAAAAAAGAATTCATGTTAAAAATTATATATTTTGTAACGTAGTACGAGTTTTCGGCACCAAAATTATATCTTTTTTAAAGATTTAGATGACAACACTTGCCATCAAAAGAAATTCTAGATATACATTTAACCGTGAGTGAAATGGAAATATCATATCAAAGGATGTGGTTTGTATAGAGCCGAGGCTCTAAACAATCAAAGTAAAGTTCATCTTCAAATAGTATCGAGAAATATGGATTCAACATTATAAATCTTTGTAATAATAGCCTTGAAATATATTTTCAACTTTAATTATAAAATTTAAAGCTTTAAAAAATAGTGTAGATCGAGTAGATCTATAAAAAAACTTAAAAACCTTAAAAAAATATTAGTTAAAAAATAAGTTGTAAGATAAAGTATTTCCAAAACTTAGAAATCTTTTTTTATTCGATATTTGAGCATCAAATCAATGAAATTTTTGTGGTGGGCACTATAGCCACTTCTAGTAAAAACCTGTCCTTTTTTAATGGTAGGGAGGGGTGTTTTAGTCATGATAGAAAGAAACAAGAACACGGACACACGTGTCAACAGGTTGGTATGACTGAACGGCGTTTCCTACTCGTACCATAACTGACTACGATATTATGGAGCAGGGAACATTTATATATACGGTCATGTGACTACACACACTTATTGTTTGGCTTGGTCTTCTTGGGATAAGTTTGAACGCCACCATTGGTTCATATCCGTACGCGAATACGTAAGAGAGAGAAGGAAAAGTACTTTATGAGTCGGAGGACTCATAACCACATTTGTGTCCGCGTGCATCTCGGAGGACTCGTAACCACACTGGTGTCCGCGTGCATCACACACACATCCATCCGTAGAATCCTGGTGTGCATAAAAAAAAAAAGTAAAAAAATCAACTGGTTTGAAGATCTTTTTTCAAAAATTATTTTAAAATTTTTAAAATTTATTATATTATATATTCGTGATCTGGATTACATGTACCTAAAAAATTAGATTCAAAATCCATTTTAAAAACGGATTAAAAAAAAGGGGACGCATATCTAGTCCTATTGACTCATAAAACAATATCCATGAGAGTCATTTATAAGGCCCATAGATCCTCAGCTTTAAAGTCTACATGATATTTATGTGCTAAGAGAGTTACAAGAACACGTAAGGGTCATGTTATTTGCTCCCACCAAAGCATAAAATTTGTAAGGAAGATAAATAATCGTTTTGGTCGGTAGATCATCACATCTAAAGGTTAAATAGTGTCACCTCATTATTTCAAAACCCTAGATAGTTGGAGTGGATTACCTTTGTTTGTGTAAAATCAATCTAGATAGCTCCAAATTTACCATCTACGAAATATTTTTAAAAAAATTGAAATAGAGGTTTATAAGGAAATCTAAAAAAAAATATCAGATAAACTTAACAGAAAAAAATAAAAAAAAGTACTAATCGTGATGAGCGATACGGGTGCTACTGGAAGGAGTTAAAAACAATATTGGAAAGCTGATAGAATTAAAAGACAAAAATGAACCCTAATCTCCTAGTGGTGAATGGGAAAGAGTACATGGGACTAGGGTTGTTGCCTAAAGGACCGGCACGCGATTAATACTCGTTTCGTCATCATGTACAATTTGAGGGCACGCGCGCGATTTATACGGTCCAGGGACAATTTAGTCATTTTCGGAAAAGGGGTGTTTATGTAATTTCGATATTGTGGTATACGGACGTTTGAGGAGCGTCTGACGGCGTCAGACATAACGGCTTTTGATTGGGCGCGTTGTCTTCGAAAAGGGAATGATAAGAATGCGTGGGACAAGACGCCGGTTGGTGACGTATGCTGACGCCGTTAAACTGGCACTCAAACGTGGCCCGTAATAAAAGAGGGTCAAGGTTTTGCAATTGAATTTCCAATTACTACCCCGGAAAGGTCGGGGAGAGAGAATACGGCCAATCATTTGCGGGCTTGTTTAATCTCTCTCTACTTTCTCTCTCTTATTCTTCTTGTCTTTTCCTCTCTCTCCCCTGCATTTTGGCTTGCGCCCTTTTTTTGTAGTCTTTCCTTATTATTGTACGAAGCCATTGAATGTCCATGTTGAATCGATGGACGACCGACCATTCATGAGCATCGTATGGTGGGGGCTAGAATTTCAGGGAGGGGACTCTGTGTGCTCAAAAAGAGGACACACAGGTATGGCCCTTGGCCCCTTGCCCTACGGCTTGCACCATGGGCCCTTGCTCAGGGCTTCCACCAGAGTATGTCCCTTTTAGGGCTAAGAATGGGTCGGATCCGATTCGGATCTTAAAAGTCTACATAGGATCTAGATCCAGAGTGGGATTCGATCGGAGATTTAGATCCAAATTTCAAAAGTATACATGGATTTAAACCTGATTGGATTTAAAAATATTTTATATATTGTTTTACTTCCATAAAATACTATATAACAAAAAAATACTATGCAACATATATGCCTATCTATCTATAAAAGAATATATAATATTTTTAACAACTGGGTCATATTTGAATTGATTCCACCTATGCTCAGATACAATCTGAATTACCATTCAGATCCAAATTTTGGATAAGGATCCTACCTGTTGGATCCAAATTCTGAATCCATACCCGGATCTATATAGGGTCCAAAATTGGGGTTTCGGATTCAAACTAGGTAAATTCGGAGCGCTTGTCCCCTTCCCTAAAGGAACTTCAATTTAGGTTTCAGGCTTTGAGCCATTATGATTTGGGCTAGATTTACATAAGATTGCCTTCTTTAAACTGTAGAAGTAAGGCATGCTTCTAAATTTTGTTTGGAGATGTAGTTTGAGTGTTAGAAACAATATGTTGACTTGAGAATTTGTATTCGATCGTATTTTATAAAATT